AACATGTCTGCATTTTAGTCCAGTATTAATTATGAACATTAAAATTTAAATTTCATATCATTTTTCTATATCACAAAGTATTATTCTTCTTTTGATGATTTTCCAACAATTTAAAAATACAAAATATTAATTCATGGACCACGAAAAAACAGGCAGTAGGGCAAATCTGGCCCACTGACCAGTTTTGCTGTTATGTGCTTTATAGAAAAGGAAAAAAATAATCAAATAATAACCATAAAATAATAAATTAATTACAATTTGATAACAGCTTTGAAGGACAAATACACAGGATTTTGAGAGTATAAAACTAAAGAGAACTGGTCTTCGTAGAGTGAGAATAAGTTGATTTATTCCAAAGTTGATTTTGATCATTTTATTCCATTTGGAATTGAGAAAGACGTGATTAGTTAATGAATCCAGACTAACCAACCGTCAAGAAAAGGACTCAGAAAAAAAAAAACATTAATTTTAAGTGTACTTTCCTCCAGATAGTTTAACAAGTTCAGATGAATGTAAGCAGCACTTGAGGAAAGAAGCAGTTTAAAAACAAACTTTAGTTTTGGAGACTCTTTTCCAAAGTAGTTTCTTCTTGCCTCCTCAAATAAAATCCGAATTCCAAATGAAACTTACATTCAAGAACATTTAAAGGCAGATTAAATTTCATGTCTAAAGTCCATGTCTCCATCCATGGTCCACAATGAATATGTATTCCCAGGAGATGTGGGTCTTGGTCCAAAGTCCCTGTGTAAGGACAGAGATAATGTTCAAGGAAAAGGTCTAAGCTAAATTTCCATGGTTCAAGATTTTGTTCAGATTCTAGGTCAGGTCCAATAGCAAACCCAAGATCTATGTAAAATCAATCCAGTTCTGAGTTCAAGTTTCAGAGGTAGAGGTTCAGGGTCAAGGCATAGTTCCAAAGCCCAAATTAACTTCTATGTCTAGGATTAATAAAACATGTCCATGTCCAATTGCCACATGCAAGGTCATGTCCATGTGAAGATCTAAAGTCTAAATTCAATGTGTAGAACTAACCTCTAGTCCATAACCATGGCACATAATTAAGTTTGGTTCAAGGTACTGGACAAATAACGAACCAAATATTTTGGTCTTATATTCAGTTCTAATGTCCAAGTTCAGGTCCTAGGTTCAGATTGATATAAAGTTAAAGCTAAAGTCAAGACCTAGGATGCAAGACCTGATCCAAGGTCCAAACTTGAGTTAATAGTTCAAAGTAAAAATGAAAAGTGTAAGGTTCAATTTCAATGTCCATATTCAGTACAGGTTTATAGCCCAGGTCTATAGTTCAGATCCAATGCACCCATTCAAGGGTCCCAGTCCAACATCCAAGTCCATGTCCA